AAATTTCCCACTTCCTTCAGTGAAAGTTTTCATCCCAAAGACATTAAACTGAAAGACACATCAGTGATATTCCACTGATATTTAGGTTTTCATGTTAGGAAAAGGGTGGATTGTGACCTTCTGGTTATGATGGAGTGAAATTATGTCTTTGTAGAACTATGGCCACAAATGGGCATATTATCCATCCTCAGATGATACATGAATGAATATGGAGCATAAGTGGAGTGATTTTGACTGGAAACAACCAAAGAACTCATTGAAAACCCATTCTAGTGTTATTCTATCCCAAAATTCCACATAGACCACCCTGAGAGCAAACCCGGGCCTCTCTGGTGGAAAGCCAGCTATTAAAAGCCAATACTTGTGGTTCCCGACATATCTGAAGAACCTATTGCCTCTATTGTATAACCTGAAGATGGATGTGATGGGTTCCTCCAAGTCCAAATCAAATTGTGTTGTTAAGTATTGAGGTTGTTTTAATGCCATTGTGATCCCCCTTCCCCATTTATTTTTCCAATTTACCTAAATTTTGATCTGTTTATTTAAGTTTCTGTCAAATAATTGTTTGAAGAATGGTAAATGTTGAATTGTGTTTAAAAGAGTTTAAAGAATATTATTCTTTATTTATTTGAGTCGCTTAATGAGATGTCATTGCCGATGTATTGCTGCTGGATTAGTTATAATTCCTTAATGTAGCAATTGACGTATTTTGTTGTATTTTTTCATTTGTAATTCTGTGTACATGCATGAAACAAAAAGGTTTGTGGCTCTCTGTTGAGCGCAGAAAAAAAGTACACAGCTTTAGTGCCTGTTGTTTAGGGCAAAAGCTAAATAGCATATAGCAGCGTATAAAAACATGGCCCAAAATTATTTTACCATTATGCCATTTTGCTGCAAAACTTACATTAAGAATTTTCAGGATTAGAATGTGTGTGCATTAATGAGGATTGGGAAGATGTCATACCAGTGATAAACTGAAGTTACTCCAAATGAATAGAAAAGCAAAATTCACCCATAAGATTACAATTAGAAAGCTGCTTTCCTTTTGCTCCCGAAATTTATCTGTTGTCTATACATGGTAATACTTGGAATGAACCATTCTTCAAGTGCCTGAGCACTGCGGGTCCCAACTTTTCATTGGCTTGATCTATAGACATTTGATAGGACTCCTTGGACAAGGGATCGGCCGCAAGGCCTCTACCTGTACACATGACAGCACAACACAGAAAAATGCGGACAAACATCCATGGCTTGAGTGGGATTCGAACCCACGGTCCCAGCGACCAAGCGGCACAAGGCCCATGCCTCAGAATTAACGAAAACCCTCCACCTGTCCCTGTCCTGGGCCATGAAAATACAATCACCTTCAACTCCTACCACCCACAGATCCCACTTGATATTATCCTCCCATCTACATCTAGGTCTCCCCAGCGATCTCTTCCCCTCAGGCTTCGCAACCAATACCCAGTACACACCTCTTGCCCCATCCATGTGTGCCACATGCCCCGCCCATCTCATTCTTTTTGACTTAATCACCCTGACGATATTGGGGGAGGAGTACAAAGTTTTAAGTTCGTAATTATGTAGTTTTCTCCATGCCCCATCGTCTTCTCTCCTAGGCCCAAATATCCTCCTCAACACCCGATTCTCAAACACCTGTAATCTATGTTCCTCCCTCAGAGTGAGAGACCATGTTTCACACCCATACAGAACAACAGGCAAAATCATTGTTTTGTATATTTTAATCTTTAGGTTCTTAGAAATCAGATGGGAAGACAAATTGTTTTGAACTGAAAGTCACAAACCTTTGGAGAATGAAACTATTTTGTCATTATGTTTATGAGTTGGTTGGTTTCTTTTGTGACAGTTGTATTTAAGTTGTTGCATTAAGAATGTGTGTCCCTTTGACGGTCTTGTATTCTTCAGCCATGTCGTCCCTTTTCACTATGGCATGTGTTTTGAATTTTTAATATAGTTCTTTTATATTTAGCGTCTGCAGTGTGAACCATAATTTTGGTTTCAATTCGCTTGTAGTGAATTTTTTTTTTTACAGGTCTTTGCAAAGGAAAATTTGCTGGATTTAGATTCCCCGTATAATAATTAAACTGAGGAAAGTAAAATGCAGCATTCAGTCATATTAGAGACTAGTAGCTATGTCATCAGCCACACAGGACTAGCAGTTAAACAGTTGGCTGTCAGCTGGTGTCCACTTCATGAAGTCCCCCTTCCCCTTCATCTTTAGTTTGGTATTATAAATATTTCAGTATCACAATATGTCATTGTCAGTAATCATTATGTTATGTGCCATGAAAATTAATACTGTAAAAACATGACTGCCTTATCTGTCTTACTTTAAAAAAAACATTCTGTAAGGAATGATGCCTGATTAATGGTGA